GTTTAGGGGCGCCCACCCCTAAAAAATCGTGATTTTCTGAGTTGAGGCCCCTGGGCACTAACGCGGTCGAGTATGGTACATTGTTCTTTCATTTTTTCAAAACTTAGGACAAAACAGCAAAAAAGTTGTGATAAATTATAAGTCTTATGATGGAGACTAGAAACACAAATATGGGACATTGTGACCTATTTTATTCTTGATTGAACACATGCAGATATTTAGATAATGAGTAAATACCTACTTTTCATAGCTGGGTACGTGGGAAGGTTTATCAGCAAACAGTGTAAGTAGTAAATATATAGCATCTAAAATATGTAATGGTTTACCAACAGATTGCCAATGACTATCCTGTAAGACAGACACAAATAGAAACTGAAGACGCTTTGTTGGATATTATTTGTAGAGCATAAAGCAAGAAGATGAAACATTAAAGGCCTTGCAAAATTTTGTTTCATTGCTAGAAATATTTGCAATTTGAGTATTCATTGAAAGTTGCTGCAACTGAAATAAAAAATCCATTGCTAGAAAAGTTGCTCATCTAAACTGAATACACATGATGATGGAAGCAATGCTAAACTTACCTTGGCTTTGAATATACAATCATACACTTGATGCAACGTTGTAAACGGTATACCGATCTTCAAAAATGTTATGAACACACAAGTTTTATCCCAATCTAGTTTACATGTCACCTTCTCCAAATGTTTCACAAGAAAATCTAAACACAAAGGAGAAACCAAAATGCAATGTAAAATAAAAGACAGGCAGGGTAACCATAACAACAACTGGAAGACGGAAATTAATTGATTCAGTGTTGAGTACTGAGTACCTTAGTTAGCAGAATTTTGAGATCTATTGACAATACCAAACATGAGTTGTTATAGCTAGCTAGGCGTGAATACCTATAGACAATTGCATCTCTATCGAAATCACCAACTAAAAAGTGGATTTCAACATGTTTTTCTGCAAAATTTACAAAATATTGGCTACTTCCGAAACATTCCAAGTTCAGCCTACAATGTTAACACCTGTTTCACCAAAGACAATATCCAGACATAGCTGGATATGATACAAGCATTAATATGAAGGCATGGGCTCAATAATAGGCAAATGAAACTGGATTTAAAGTAGCACAAGTAAGAAACCAACTTTGCCCATTCATATAGTCGCTGCAGATTCCGAGTTAATTTTTAATACATGTATATTGATTTTTGAACTGAAACACGTCTTTAAATACAAATAAGATTTCAATAGAAAGAAAGACATACTTCCAAGAGTAAAGAGTGCGATTTTCATCATGCAGTGGACATTTAATGTTTGAAGATTAGCATCAGAAGGAGAACATAATGATGAGCACTGTGTTATCTGGGTAATCATCAACTTGGCTATTGAAACCATGAAAACATTGAGGTGTGAACATGTTACCAACCAACTACATAAAACAAATCTGCTCTGGCACGTCTGAGTGGGAAACAATTCACATGACGAGTGTGAACAAAGAGAGCACTTACCTAGAGGGAAATATCTGTCAGATGTCATGTATATACTTCCTAATGCTGTTACTTTATCACTAAGACAAGCCATTCTAGAAGGCACTGATTTACCAACTGAATTATCTAACTCTGAAAAAACACAATATCTCATTAGAATTCATATTTTAACTACATCATATCAGAGGTACATTACTTGGGGTTTGCAACTACGGTGACATGATACCAAGGTCGAGATCAATCTCTCTCTCGCATAAGCGTTTCCTGCTCAGAACAACTAACTAGATTACTGTGTGGTCCAGGTGGATAAAAATAGCTGCCCAAGATATGACGGATTACAATAACTATATTTTCTGTACATTTTCTATGTATTACATTTTTTCACTATGACAGTAGCAAGACATGTTTTATTTTATTTTTACAAACCTTGAACATTGATATATGTCATGTCAGAAGGTCATAGCCTCAGTCTCGCTATCTATGAGAAGAGACTTGAATGGGATCTTGACATGATGTCACCATACAGTACTATGCGCATTGCAAATCCCAAGTAATGTACCTCTAATCATACCTAATTTGAATTTTGAGACCATGTTGAGGGTACTGTACTAAAAAAATGAACCAAATCAAGGATCAATACTGTACAAAGCCCATATTATTATAAAGATTAGTTCCTATTAATATTTTTAACTGAATAACCTTACCTTTTTTAATAATATTTGTCCAGAAAGATTCCACCAATAGCGGATCATAATGTCCAGCACAGTGAATGATAGCAAGTTGGCATTCCCAGAGTTGGAACGGTTCAGCAAAACCCTCATACAGCTGAAATGAAAACAATATTTTCATTATACATTTTCAAAAACATGTAGTATGCTATAGTGATGAATCACTTCCACAACACGAATTGGTTTTCACAGCATTGTTATTATTCTGATCTACAGTAATTCAATATTTCACATCACTGTAGCTCATTCATTATATAATATGAGGTTATTACGAGGATACCTCAAAGCACCGATGTGCAGCGGAGGTTGATGCGATGGCATACTGTCTGAGTATTCTTGTAATAACCTTTAAGTTATTGTCATACATCTTTTCCTCCCAATGATACATCATGGGAATGCCGAAATCCAAAATGTTTAGAACAGAATCAGCAAACTTCTTTGTGTGGGGTTTGGTCAAACCCTGGTGGCAGCCATGTTTGTTTTTGTTATTAGAGGACGCTTATGTGTGTAATCATTTCATATTTGGAATTCACATTTCCTAATATTGTAGGATGAAAATACCCCGTAAAATACCGCAAAAGTACGGCATGCTGTAACTTATGACGTTATGGTGACACATAATAAATATTATTAATACCATTAGCATGTAAGGTGTTTAATCAGCAGTGATATCGCATCTTTTATGCCCCAAACCTGACTTGTGCTTTTGTACTGGTATGTAACTTAGAACATGGGGCCCCAGAACATGAATGTTTCACTACACTGAAACATACAGATGGCAAAAGAACGTTTGAAGTTGATGTTTAAAGCTTCCTGTCTTGTTTGGGTTCATTTGCGTTAATATTTCATTTCTACTTCACAAACCTCACAACAAATTATTTGCACCAACTTCAGCATCAAAATGTTATACAGATTCAGGACTGATAAATAAACTTAATACTCTATCGTCTGATAATGTATAGAAATGACGTAACAATATGTCCAAATATGGGGAATGGAATAGAAATGTTATACAGATTCAGGACTGATAAATAAACTTAATACTCTATCGTCTGATAATGTATAGAAATGACGTAACAATATGTCCAAATATGGGGAATGGAATAGAAATGTTATACAGATTCAGGACTGATGCAACAAACTTAATACTCTATCGTTTGATAATGTATAGAAATGACGTAACAATATGTCCAAATATGGGGAATGGAATAGAAATGTTATACAGATTCAGGACTGATGCAATAAACTTAATACTCTATCGTCTGATAATGTACAGAAATGACGTAACAATATGTCCAAATATGGGGAATGGAATAGAAATGTTACATAAACGTTTTGAGAAAAAACGTATATTCTCAGTAAGAAGCTTACACAGTAAACAATATGGCTTTTTTGGTACATATGTTGCATGAATACATATAGGTAGATTTTACATTTTCCAAGTGATTATACATGACAAGCACTTCTATACATACACGTAACTATACTTTGGGTCAACAACATTGTAATTTGCATATAACATATTTGCTCTATTAGAAGTATACAAACACCAAAATTGCATTTATTGTATGCTGGATCATTGTTCACAATAGACACATCTCTGTCATTGATGTAAGCACATGTACTATTACTAATAGAACACAGTATAATCTTACCCTGGTAATATCTAACAGTTCAGCATTGAGCTGAGATAAGGCTTCCTGTACTTCGGGGAGAGACGAGTTAAAATTGCTGATAGCTTCAAATACCTTGAGTTGAATACGAGCAACCTAGGAGAAGGAGAGACATGTATGATGTTGTACATGTATGATGTGTATTCAATTACTGCATGACAGCTTGTGCATACATTATATTTTTAGACTAAAATGTTGTTTATTTTGACTACAGTTTATCTGTCATGCAATATTACCTACCAGGGGTAATCAGTGATTCAGGTTTTCAGTACAATGTTGTTTTTAGTTTCTGGTGGTGATAATAGCTGGGATATTTAGGACCCCAACAAAACCACAGAAACAGTTTGCCTTTAGCAAAAGCAACCATCTGTTGATGCTATAATAAAAGTGGGCTATTTTAAACTGGCATTACCACTTTGCAAATAATAAGAAAAAGTGGATATTCCGCCCTAACTTTCCTTCCTATTTTGAGATGACTGGAGGGTTTTAACCCTTAGACAGAAATTTCTACAATGTAACTGACTTTTGAGAACAAAGTCTCCTAACTCAATTTTTATAAATTCAGCTTGATTTAAGAGGTCATCTGAAATACATATTATGTTATTTTACCATTACCCATCTACAATCTCAACAATTGATGGTCAGGGGATGTCACCTCACAAATTTGGAAATGCAACTTCAAGAATTGACTCCAGATGACATTATGCATTTCTTCATCACTTTTTCCAGTGTACAATCTCTCAAAGAAAATAATTTACTTATGCAAGGGTGTTAATTGATTCATTTGTCTTTGTTGATGTATTCATATGTTTCCATAAAATCCAAACATGGCCACTATACTTGAAAAGCTTTGGACAGAACACTACATATACATGTTACATGTTCAATAGAATACATACCTCCATTTTTTCTTCTAATTGATGTAAAAATTCTCCATCGCTGGCTGAACTAGTACGTAGGTTACTACTCTTTGCACTCATAATAGCACGCGATATGTACTCAATTCGCTGAGTCAGGTTCACATCAGTACTGTAAACAAAATATAAACTTGGTATCAATACTTTAACCTCTCCACTTCCCTCTTTTCATCACAAATTCCTTTAGAAAATTGGGACAACAGAAAATTGGCTCAAATTTTGTCTGTTGGCTTCAAAATTAGAGTTCATATCCAGAAATATTGAAGAATATAAAAAAATAGTACAGAAACATTTGGGTGAGAAAGTCTTGTAGTGAAAAGATTGAAGTTTTTTTTCGATAATTTATGCCAGGCAACATTTTTAGCCACTGAAGTCACTGCTATTTCCCCTGAAATTTTCTCATTGACTTTGATGCTATTTGATGCATAGTGCATGTGTACAAACCAATCTCCCAAACCTAATATCAGGAGTTAGAGAGCATGGCAGACTGTACTTTTAGTCATCTTATTTATACTGCTTACTGATTAATCAATTAATCAATGTGCCAACATTCAGGTCCAAGCCTTGTATAGCAAATCTCAGAAGTATTGGGGCAGCCAATTTGCAAACTCACTAGCGAATTGGCTAACTGCTTGGGTTTTGACTAAACAATTGGCTTTTGGATTTCGCTGACGCAGTCTTGTTGTCACGCTACTCTGGGTAAATCTATATTATAGTAGACAGACGTTCAGGAGCTAATCAGCGACACAAAAACGACAAATGTGGTTAACATTTATTGGAGGTTAATAGTACCCCTCATTAGGCTATGAAAGTTTAGTATTTTTCCCTGATTTGTTGGAAACTGAAAACCTGTTTCTCAACTTCCCTCTTTACTTAGTTTCAAGCCTTGTTCAAGATGGCTGCACACACATGGTGAATTAATCGCATTTATCATATTATCACTTGTATGCTAGCTGACTGTGGTTCTGACCAGGGAAAGGCTTAGGAAAGCCACGATTATGACAGAACGTTCAATTATATGATAGGACTTGGGTGAGCAGATATTTTTGTAAATTACTCATACTTGCTTACTAATTTGGTAATTGTAAACTACATTTACATTAATCACACCAAATCACCTTTGAAATGAGGAATTCACTTATTCAGACAGATACCAGGCCACAAAAGCATTCTATGTCCTTTACTGCAATATTGACTTGCCCAGAGTGGACAAAACCACAGGTTGAGATTCAAAAACCAACTGTTTAGTCAAAACCCAAGCAGTTTAAGCCAATTTTGCTGCCCCAATACTTCTAAGATTTGCTCAAAATTGAGACAGGCAGTCATGTCATGGATTCCCATCAAAATAACCTTGATCATCATGATGAAAAAATCAGCATTATTCGACATATGTCAGACTTGACCAGACTTGTACCTAACATATTGTGGTTCATTGCAAAAATAAAATAGATCCCAAAATACAGTTTATTATGATGTCAAGTTTGCCAGGATTACAACCTCTAGTGTTTCTGTGATCTAGTCATATGCCCACTTACACCCATCATTTTGTCAATTTGCCAGAAAATACCAAAAAAGGTAAAAATTTCACAAAAAGAATGGCATGACAAATATTTCAGCAATGGGTGGTACTCAGTGTCAAAACCTATATTTTCATCACTGGTCATCAGTTTTGTGTTCTAAAAGATAAACAACAAAACATCCAAACACACTTGTCTATTTGAGCAACATTGTTACACCAATCTACATCATTTTGACATATTGCTAGGCAGCACAAAGGTGTATTACGATGGTCAGTGGCAGACTGAGGACTCTGTGTATTTCTACACACATTACTCAATTGGTAGGTCAAGCATAGCAATTATTTACATTAACACTCCTTGTACATCTAATATAAAAGTGCATCATTGCTTTCTTAATTATAATTGTGATTCAAATAATTATTAACATTAAAACAAAAGTTGCTATCAACATACCCATGCCTATCACCCAGTTTGGATAATATTTTTGCTGCTGCTGAGAAATTCTGTATTTTCTCATAGTACTTCCACAAGAGATCCAGCATGGTAAGGTTGTCAGGTTGGTAGGCAGCGGCTCGCTTCAGATAGGCCTCTACAAATGGTAAGGTAATCTGAAGTAAAAGAGACAAACGTAAGCTCTTCATCATACATATGGAGATACTGGTAATCAGATTTTGAGTTGAAATTTTTTTTCAATTTCTTGATGAAATAACCAATACGTCAACAAGGATTTTATCCCAAACTACCATCTGTTCCTGTTTGGAAATGTATGTGGTATATCTTCTGCAACTTGAGCAAGTAACAAAAAAATGATTGTTGGAAATTCCATACTTTCCTAGCAATTTTATGATAACTACTCTGAAATATTTTGGAACAGACAATATTAATGAACAATAAGCAGGAAATTCTCAACGTACTAACCTCTAGTAGTTTATCTGTGAGTCCCATGGTAACCAACCAATCATATAGTGAGACATGGTATAATTCATCATTTGACTTCAAACCAATTTTCATCATCTGATCCATCTGAAAATGAGTACCGGTACTGTCGTCAATAGAAGTCGCTACACTCAATAGCAATCAACAACATTATTCAACACAAAATAAAAGACAGCTACAAGTCATTTCAGTGAATCAATTTTGTTTAATGTTAGTTTTGAACCACCACTCAGTTCTTTGTGAGAGAATTGTTATGCAAATTAGGTAATTAAACATGCACAAATATCACAACAAAACATCTAGTTACATAAACTGCTGTTATAACTGGCATGATATTCTGTTTTTTATCTACATCATGCTCATTACAAAGTTCATTCAACTACAAATGACGTTTTTGCATTAGAATATAAATGTGCACCCAGTTTTAGCAGCCATATTTTGGTGTCTGAGACTGTATGCACTGTACTGATTTATGCCCACTGACGTTGCAGGTCAGCGTCCTCTCCACATGGATCTGATATCGCGCATGGAGTGCCTGGAGTTTGTTTGAAACTTTGAATGTTTCAAAGTCAATCATCAGTCATATTTTTACGGATGTAATAATTTGTTTCAGTGATTCTTTACCAAATATTATAAATGGAAGCGGCCCAAAATTGCATAAATCTACAATCATTTAAAGCTGATCATTTCTGGTTAGGAAGACGTGTGAGACGTCACAGGACTGTGACAACAAAACATACTCATGAAAGTAAAAGTAAAGTGCATTTGTTGGACGATAACATTAAGAATATTAAGTTTGCTGTACATGTATGTCTGACAATAGATGCCCAAGACTTACATGGTGTGCTGCTTCCTGCGCACTCAATCTGCTGTCTTCACTCGTTGTCGGTGGTGGGCCGGGTCGTTTTGGAATCCCAGGGGATTGTGGGTAGGACTGACTGAGGTGAACCAAGTTACCCAATGTATCATGGACACATTCGTAGCATTCCAATCTGCAAGGAATGAAATTATACAAATGACTGGTTTTAACTGTTTCATCTTAACCAAACTTCACACTAGAACAACTTTGTTTCAAGTTTTTCTGTTTACAGAAAACTGTCTATTTTAGGTTACAATTATTTGAACTATTTCTTGAAAAAATTGGAATGCAGAATGCATTTTTAAACAGAGATTTCACATTTACAACAAACTTTTATTGTTGACGGTTTGAAAAATAAAATCCCCTAAATCTTGCAACTTTTGACCAAATGCTACACAGGGACTGAGTGTCTCTTCTTAATTTACAAAAATAAACACAGAATCTATACATAACTGTAGTTTGATGTACTGTGATTCATATTATTGAAGGTGTTGTTTGGACAAGGAAAATGGAAAATCACTTGCTAAAAAAGCTACATTTTTTTGTGTGAACTATTTACTAGATGATGTTGGATAAACAGGAGAGAAAAAAAGTAGTTTTATAGCATGAATGATGCTGTTATGAAAAATGAGACAAATCTTAGTAAAGTGATTTTTAAATATAAGTAGTGGGTAGTTACCTTGTTACAAATGCCTGCATTCCTTGTGTATCTTCCGGTGGCTTACCACTTTTATAATAATGTAATGCCAACCCTTGTGGATCTCTCCTGTGTGCTGCTGTTAAACTTAACTCAACTATGCCATCATAAAAACCAGCTGATAACCAAATAGAATGAAGTTCTTTTACTGTTTTGATTAATTTCTTTTACGGTTTTGATTAATTTTTATAAGAGACATAAATGGTGTTTTTAGAGGGCAGTGGTCATTGCGCTCTGCATGCGCTATATATGGGTTTATATAAACAAAAATGGCAACTTTGACTGTTACACAGACCAATGAGTACAAACTGAGATGTTACCAAGCTTTAACTACATGTATGCAATTTCTACATGTAATTAATTTAATTAGTGCATATCGTGCAAAGGTCAAATCTTGTACTTGTCATTGGAAGAGCACATTGGATTGTGGGGAAATAAATGTTCATCAACACAAATGTTCCAAGTGTGGTACAACGACCATCGCTCTTTAAAGCGGGAAATTTTGTGACATTTCAAATTTAATCGAGGAAAGATTACCTGCTTGATATTCAGAAAAAATGGCTGTCAAATTCAACTGATGGCTCACTTCACTGAATCTCTGAGAAAAAACAATAAATGAATCAAACTTAACACATGCAGTATATTCTTTACATTGCAGTTGTTCATGCCTTTTTTGTTTTAAAACATTCAAGCATGAGGTCGTTCTGCATCAAAATTTGACTAATTACTCATGAACTTGTTCAATTCAGACAAACAAATAAAAAAACAAAAACATAGAGTTGATGTGCTATTCAAATTGTTTTTCAAGGTCTTCTTTCTGAGATTTACAACAAACCTGTCAAAAGCTTGGATGAAGTAACACAGTTGTGGCTGACATCTTTGCTATAAATTCTAGGGAAGTTTACAGAAACATTGCATTGCATTAAATAAATGTGTCTCCAGTGTGTGTTACTGATTCGTTTGCCCAAATCAAATGACCTCATGCATATTCATGAAGTGATAACGATTTATGCATATTCAGAAATTGATAATGACCTCATACATATGTATAAAGTGATAATGATATGAATAATTAAAATCAATGCTACTGTAGTCATTAGAAACTGGAATCTTCATTTTCAAGTCTAGTTTTCACCCATACCTCAAGAGATTCCCGCAGCATCTTCTCCTTGTCAAATTTATTACTGGCTTGCTTGGCAGTTTGTAAAAGTTCATTGGCCTTGGATATGATAGCGTCCTCTGTGCTATATAGTAATGGGCAGATTTCTCTTAAGCGAGAACTGATTGCATCAATGGAAGCATTGTCGCCAAGGTAACAGTTGATAAGGGCAGTAATCAGGGTACCACAAATCTATAAATGACAACAAATTGAGTTTAAGAACATCAGAGAAAATGGCAACCATTTTTTTTTTGTGAGTTGAAAATGATACACTGACAAAAAGAATATCTGTTGCAGATTTTCTCGTATTGGTTGGTTCCATGTATAAAAACAACAACAGATGATCAGCTACATGTATGTAAGTGCAGATATGCCAGATTTTTAAAATCAAACTAATGATTTACCGGTAATGAAGAAAAAACACTTAAACACTAAACACTTTTCTTGAAAACAACATTTGATGTTAACATATACCCACCATTGTGGTAACATGTAGTCAACTCTGTTTATTCAAATGTGTGTAGAACAGAGAAATTAAGTAGTTAAATATTTGTATTCTGACAAAATTAAATGATTACATACCTCCCTCCCTGATGTAACTAAATCAGAAAACTTCATCTGTCGTAATTGGTTTTGAACATCCTGTAATAAAGAAAATTACAAATACTTCAACATGATATAATATAGCATAATTGAAAGGCTCTCTTTTTAGCTCCGCTGTCGACTTTGTCGAGCGGAGCTTATCATATGAGTGATTGTCCGTCGTCGTCCGTCGTCGTCCGTCGTCGTCCGTGTCAATGTTTTACTTTTTCGACTTCTTCTTGAAAACTACAAGCCTAAATGCTTTGATACTTGGTGTATATGTACCTTGGGTAGACCTCTCTTAGGTTTGTTCATTTCATGTTGATATCTTTAATTCTCTAATTTTGGTGAATATTTTTGTCATTTTTGGTAAAAAATGATATTTTCGACTTCTTGTTAAAAACCGCAAGTGCAATTGCTTTGATACTACATATATAGGTACTACATGTGGACCTCTCTCAGATTTGTTCATTTCGTGATGATATCTTCAATTCTCTAATTTTGGTGAATATTTTTGTCATTTTTGGTAAAAACTGATATTT